GTCGCGAAAGAAGGAGCGAGAAGCACCTGAGTCAAGTGTGAAGGTGTACAAGGCCTTAGCAGTCGCAGTACCAGAGAGAGCAGACTCACCAGCACCTGGAGCAGAAGCCTCACCAGCACCTAGAGCAGGAGACGCACTAGCACCTAGAGCAGCAGCCTCACCAGCACCTAGAGCAGCAGGCTCTATACCTGGGTCAGGCGGTACGCACAGGTAACAGGCACGGTCAGCACTAGTAGGCAATGCATACATGGCAGTGAGAATAGCATCATAGTCAAGAGCAAAGATATCTACCCTCTGCCCAAGCAGCTCCAGCCAGGTGGGGAGCTCAGCCTCGTCGCCAAACTCGGTACACCAGGCGTCGCTCAGACGGGCGAAGCAGCGGGACTGTGTGTGACCAAGCATCCCGCAAGCCTGACCAGCCCGATCACCTGTGCGAATGACGTACGGGCAGCGAACGGTACTCCGAGACCCTCTACTCTGAGCGTACCACTCGTGAAGCTGCTGGGACGTAAGTGTCTCGCGTGGACGCCGCTGCAGCTGCAGCTGGCCACTGCCAGACGCTCCCAATTGACCAGCTCCAGGGCGACAGCTACGACGGCTACCGCCACAACCCCAACTAGCGTACCACTCACGAAGCTGCTGGGGCGGGAGAGACTCGCGTGGACGTCGCTGGAGCTGCATCTGGCCACCGCCAGTAGCAGAAGTGGCAGCAGTAGCAGAAGTGGCAGCAGTAGCAGAAGTGGCAGCAGTAGCAGAAGTGGCAGCAGTAGCAGCAGTAGCAGCCTAGCAGGAGTAACAGTGCGGGCAGGGCAGGTGCGGCAGGCAGGCAGTCAGGCAGGCAGGCAGGCAGGCAGACAGGCAGGCAGATGACGCGGCAGCGCGCGAACAAGGTAGGTGCTCACCAGTGGCGGGAAGGGCAGGCGCTCGCCGGGCAAGCAGGGCCGGCGCTCGGCGGGCGGCGGCCGGGTAGGCACACGACGGCGGCGACGGCGGGGCCACGACAGCTGCGGCAGAGCAGGGCCGCGTCGGCGGTAGAGCAGGTCCGCGACAGCTGCTGCAGGGCGGGGCCGTGAGGACTGCTGCAGGGCGGGGCCGCGAGGACTGCTGCAGGGTGGGGCCGCGACAGCAGCAGGAGGCTCCGCGGCAGCTTCTGCAGGGCGGGGCCGCGACCGTGGCAGGGCGCTCCGCGGCAGCTGCTGCAGAAGCGACGGCGGCAGTCAGGCAGGGGCGGCGTCCAAAGGGGGGGGCGCGTCGAACAGGGGCAGCCGCGGCGCGCGGGGCTGCAGCGGGCTGCGCGAGCTGCGGGCGCGGCGCGCGAAGCCGCAGCGGGCTGCGCGAGGACGGCAGCCGCGGCGCGCGGGGCTGCAGCGCGACGCGCGGGCAGCGGACGCGACGCGCGGGGCTGCAGCGCGACTCGCGGGCAGCGGACGCGACGCGCGGGGCCGCAGCAAGCCGCGCGGGCTGCGGACGCGGCGCGCGGAGCAGCAGCGAGCCGCGCTCGGGCTGCCGAGGCGCGACTCGGGCAGCTTGGGCGACGCACGGGGCAAAAATCGGGCCGCGCGCAGGAATCAGGTCTGCACGCTCTAAGCAGCAGCAGACCGCGCAGTCAGCAGACAGCAGGCAGCAGGCAGACGGCGCGCGCAGCGCAGCACGTCACAGGCACAGTCACAGTCACAGTCATGGGGTAGCGGTAGGTGGGCCCGAAAAAAAAAAAAAGCGGTCCTACGGACCTACTGCTCTGAAACCATGTTAGAATCTAGAGACAGGAATGAATCAACTATGAAAGAGTTGGGTACAAGTATGAAACCCTAAAAGGGGCTGTACCCCATATTGGCTACCCCACTACAGCCTACACATATATAACATGCATATACTTTGACAATTACAGCATTCCTGAACCAACGCGACTGTGCGGTGCCGCGCCCGGGAAACTTTGGTTTCTCGCCCGTGATTGACGGTGTTAGTGTTACACGCCGCCAGGTTGGCGGAAATCCCTGTATTACCGGTTTCAGAGTGCACCCCCGATACAAGGCTGAGGGCTCAGCCTACACTCGTAAAATTAGGCTGAAATTTCAGCCTAGTCATAAAAAAAAACTCTGAAAAATCAGACAACGTACATAAAGAAAAACTTTGAGTTCAGACTAGGTACCAAAAACAAGCCTGAACGAACTCTGAATCAGAGTAAAAAGTATGATATCTAGGGCCCTGGTTGCAATCAGTTCACTTAGCCATAATTGTGGTGGTGGAGCTTTCTTTCTCAGAAAAAGATGCAATTTCTAACATGTGAATCTTCTATCCATACCAACGTGGATTTCTTCACACGTTGCATGTACATGCCCCATTCATACAATGCAGCAGCCACCACCCTCATTCCGCAGAGGAACTCTAATCTATGCGGAGTAACGGCTAAAACAGCATAGATGATACACTGAAATCATGCACCGGAGGACCTGCGCACTCCGCACACACAGACACATTGGGCATCAACAGAGCACGGGTGAAACTTTGGGTGAGGGTTTTTTTTATGAAGGCCATGACATGACACAACCCTGACACAGCAAACATTATGCGCATGACTGTTGAGAAAGTCCTGGATAGGGATTGGCACATGGCACACACACATACACACCAGAACGCAAGCATGTGACTGTAACCCACAATACAATGCAGCATGGGGGTTCAATCAGTGTGAAGTACAATGCGTGTCATGCGATAGTGAGTCTGAAAATCAGTTTACATGAACGGAAGAGTAGCTATCAGGTTAGCAGCATCGCAAGAAACAGAATCAGAATCTTGCAAGACGCAGATGCAAGCATCAATGCAAGCAAGAGCAGCATTGAAGTACCGTAGCTGCGGAGCATGAGGAAAATGTATAGCAGGCAGGAACCCCACACCATCGCACTCCATCTCACCCCAATCCACCCCACCTCACCGCACCCCACCGCACCCCAGCAACCAGCAACAGTACCTGACTGAGACGAAAGCAGGTAGAGGGGCAAAGCAACCGCTCGGTGCGCTTCCACTGTACGCTCCACGGCAGACCCAGACGCTGACGCTAATAACGAGGGCGCCAATAACGAGGACGAGGATGACAGAGGGGAGGCAGGGAAAGAGGAGGTGGGGGTAGGGAGAGAAGGGGTGGAGGAGAGGAGGAGGGCGGCGAGAAGAGGGTTGTGGAGCAGAGAGAGGAGGTCTGCTGCCTGGTCGCAGACTGAGGGGTGCAGATGGGTGCGCGAGCGAACCACCTGGTGGGAGGGCGGTAGATGAGAGGGAGGAGGGAGGAGAAGGGAGGGAGGCAAGAGGGAGGTGGAGGGAGAGGGAGGTGGAAGGAAGGGAAAGAGAGACAAGAGGACTGCAGAGAGGGAGAGGAAGGGGGCAGGGCAAGAGCCTTGGGACGACTGAGGAGATTCCCAGCTTACCCACATGGGCATCCCTTTCTCAAAGACACGCATAACAGGAAGTCCGTTAAATTATGAAGAAAATATGGCACATCCTGGAGAGGTAAACCAGGTGCAACAACGGAGAGACAGGGCAAGTGAATGTAAGGTGCCCACACACACACATACAGGCGCACGCACATCCCCCCTTCTCCCCGTTCTCCCCCCTCTCTCCCAACACCCCACCCCCTCCCTCTCCTCCCCTCCTCCCTTCCCACCCCGTCCCCCTCCCAGCACACATGCCTTGGAGAGGCAGACTCGTGCGCGTGTGCGAAGATCCGTCTCTGCAGCAGTGAGCTTGGCAATGGCTCCCACAACAGCAGACAGCAGGCGCGAGCGCGCACCCGGCGCAGACGGCACATGAGGCAGAACAACGTAACGGCAGAATGCACAGGAACATGCACACACTCCCACACTCACACACACACGCTCATGCATGCATCCACGCCCCTCACTCCCCTCCCCCCGCCCCCCCACAGACACACACACACCTTGGAGAGGCAGACTCGTGCGCGTGTGCGAAGATCAGTCTCTGCAGCAGCGAGCTTGGCAATGGCTCCCACAGCAGCAGACAGCAGGCGCGAGCGCGCCAATGGCGCCCCCACTGCAACTGCTGCTCCTTGCGTGCCGCCCATGCTGCTGTCCGCTCCCAACCTGATGGGTAAGGGGAGGAGGGAGGAGGGAGGGGAGAGAGGGGGAAGTGGAGGGATTGGGAAGGATTGAGATTGAGTAAAGGATGTTTCTAGAGGTCTGGGCACGACATGTGCATGGGAACCTAGGGGTTGAGGGTGAAGCGGAAGGAGAAATAGAGAGCAGGGAATTGGGGTGGAGAAGGAGTGAGATCGCACAGAGAGTGTGGAGGAGGGCACGCCTTGTGTGCTCGCTCGGTAGTCGGTGCTTTCACTGAGCACATAATATGGCACATCACAGAGCAGGAGTATCACCCGTTGTCTGTCAGGGCGCAGGAGCTTTGACTCACTTGGCAGTGGCGATGGACTCGAATGTGTTTCGATGCTTGAAGCACCCACTCAGTAAGCCCGGTGGTATGAATATTTTTCTTGCACGATATGTCCTTATCCTCATTCCGTTTCAGGTCTATTCAGAACAACTACTTCTATGGGAACTTTCCATCCTGCCTCTTTGAATACTGCCTGCATAAGATGTGAGAGATGTTGACTTGGAGTGAACGTTGGTGAGGTACGAAGGTGAAATGTGCTCAAGTGGTTGCAAAGAATAAAGACTGCTTTTGAGTCGACTCAAAAGTCGCTTTTGAGTCGACTCAAGAGTGGTTGCTTAGGGTGGAAAGCCCAGTGGGCACAGCACAGTGGGCATGAGAAAAGGTCGAACGGAACTCTAGTAACCAATTCAAGTTGAGGCTTGAGCACATACAGACCGGTTAGTTTGACAAACCGAACCGAACTAGTCCTCGTCGTAACCAGTCCATGCCTAGTGAAAAGGCAGGCAGTCAATTTCTCTTTGCCACCCCACTTTGCGCTTTCCATTCTTTCCAGTGACATCAGCAACAACAGCTGCTATGGAGAGATCAACTCCAACTTCCGCAGCATGATTCCTGACAACGGCGCTCTGCTCAACATCGCAGGCAACTTCTTCTATGGCGACCCCATGCTCTACGCCGATGGCTGCCAGTTCTGCCCCTCGGGAGGCATTCAGCCCCTTCTCTTGACACCAGACAGCCTCACCTTCCCCTCTGGCGGCCGGTGTGCACCCCAGGGGTTGGGAGGACGTGTTGAGACGACGCGTGCGGGGGCCAACAAGCACGGGGAGGCGAGTCTAAAGAGGAACTGCTTCACGTTAAACAAGCAGATGGAGTGCACAGCGAACGAGACGCAGCGCAGCAGCGACGAGTGCCTGGCATTCTGCAGCATGTCGCGGGAGCTGGGGCCGTGCGACGGGCACGGAGCGTGTGTGCCGCCGCAGGCGGGGGCAGCAGAGGCGCGCTTCACGTGTGAGTGCGACGACGGCTTCGTCCCCACCAACGGCACCCTCGGCTCCACCTGCGCCCGCCCTGTCCCGCCGCCCACATCAGGTATGCTCTGTGATGGTTTTTTTTTTTTTTTTTTTTTTTTTTTTTTTTTCCCTTTCTCTGCGTGCATGTGGGTGTACGTGTGTGTGTGTGTGCGTCCGTGTGCATGCGTGCGTGCATGAGTGCCTGTGTACGCGTACGCGCGAGTGTGCGAGTGCATGAGTGCATGTGTGCGTCCATGCGATGAGCGTGCGTGAGTGCGCGTTGTCTTGAGTAAGTTGCCTAACTTGAATAATGTTGCATATTGTAGATCCCTGATTGCTTTTACGCCCTCTTAAGCTTAGGGATAAAAGGTTGGAAAATAAGTCAACGTTAAGGCATACGTGCATATTTGTGCTTGGTGGGTTGTGTGCATGTAAGCCGACTAGGTATTCTCCAACCTCGCTGTCTTCTCTCCCCATCCGCTGCCCCTCTCTCCAGCGCTCTCCACGGGTGCAGTGGTGGGCATCGCTGTGGGCTCTGCTGCTGCCTTTGCTCTCCTCCTCGCTCTCTTTGTCGTGCTGCTCTGGCCCCGCCAACGCAGTGAGGCTCTTCCCCCTTTCCCCTCTTTGTAGGATGTAGAATCTGCTGCAGTTGTAGGAGCTATCTGTGCACTTGTTTGTCTGCATCACGCTTGCTTGTTTGCAGCGCGCTCAACTGTTTGCCGCTTCGGGTGTTTCGTGCTGATGAGCGTGCTGCCATGCTGTGTGGCATGGCAGGGCGGTGGAGCGACCTGGACGTGTGTCAGGAGTTCAGCATGGGGGAGATTCTGCGGGCGACAGACAACTGGGCGAGCAGCCTGTTGGGCTTCTGCCTGCATCAGAACGTGGAGAGCGGCCAGCAGGAGCAGATCCTCGTCTACGAGTTCGTGCCCAACGGGGACCTCAAGTACCACATCCACGACTCCAAGTGTACGCTCTTCTTGTAAAAGCCATTATTTGCTAAAAGTGCAGCTTTGCCACTCGCCCTCCTCTTAATGTTGGCTCGGTTCCTTTTTCCGGCTTCTCTTGTGTTCTTTTTTCCCGCTCCATTCCCCCTTTCCCCACCCCTCCAGCGCCCCTGACCCTGAAGCAGCGGCTGCAGCTGGCGGTGGGGGCAGCGGAGGGAGTGGCGTATCTGCACAGCTTCGCGACGCCCATCGTGCACCGCGACCTCAAGCCCGGCAACATCCTGGTGGGCGAGCACAACCAGGCCAAGATCGCCGACTTTGGGCTGCTCAAGCTGCTCAGCCATGCCGACGGTGGTGACGACCGCACTCGAGTGGCCGGCACTCCGGGCTACCTCGACCCGGACTACAACCGCACCCAAGTCGTCTCCGAGAAGAGCGACGTCTACAGGTGCATGCGCCCTTGCTATGCCTTTTGTGTGGTGCGATATGTGAATATCAATTGAGCCGTTTTTCAAGTCAGAATATTTCTCTCGTCTATCGCCACACTGTCTGCGTCTCCTTGTTTGAGAATCATCATCTCATCCATGTGGGTTTGTTCTCCTCCACAACATCGAGTACTTAACAGGATCTCTTTCAGTGCGTCTTTCCTTCCCTGTTCTCCCCACAACCCTTCCAACCATATGCATTAGAGCAGCTTTGGCGTGGTGCTGCTGGAGTTGCTGACAAGGCAGAAGGCAGCTGTAGAGGGCACCGACAGCCACATTAGTGACTGGGTGAGTGCATACATGCAAATATGGTGAGTAGGGGCAGAAGCATGTCGGATTCAAACTTAGGCATTCATGACGCATGAAACATCTCTGTAATGTTTCACATGGAGTACTGATTAAGGCCTAGCGACTAACAAATTGTGTCGCGTGTGTTGTCAACTAGGGATGAGCAAAAGACGAACACGAACATGTTCGCCTCGAGCCTTAGTTGGAGTATACACTCAAGCCATTTTGCGTATTGAGTTTATACGCTTCGAACGCACGCTGCGTTTCTTGTGTAAATACGCCGAAAAACGCTTGGGCAGACCGGGGAAAAAAAAAACCCGAAGTTGGGTTTGAGCTCGCGACATGTCGAATTAAAATTAGGGCATCGCAGATCTCAACTTTGAAATTGAATTTCGAAGCAGATCCACAACAACCCCTTCTGTATACCATTGCGCCACCCACTCCACCCCATTCAATCCCAATTCCTTCCACTCAATGTCGAGTGGAGGAGTTGGATTCAACCGACTCACCTCTTCTAGCAGAAATTCGGCCCATTTCTCTATTCGAAGTTCATTGTTCGTATTTTTTTACCTCGTTTTTACCTACCTCGTTCTTATCGACGAGTATGACTAGACCGTGGGCACCAACTTCGTGCTTTGCACCTCGCCCATCCCCGCCTTTGAACCTAACAAACTGCCCGGCGAAAATGTTTATGTGCCCGGGCCTGCGTATTCACTGCGTACCGGACCCAAGGTGCAAAAAAACGACGTTTTTTTCATTTTTTTGTCGTTATTTTCGATATCGTACCGTACCATCGTTTAAAACGGATAAAAACGATAAAACTAAATAAATAAATTTGGGTGCAAAAAAACGATCGTTTTTTTGGGTTATGGCAACGTAGCACACAGGATTGGTGGAAGTCGTGGCTTGAACCAATCACCCACACATATTCAGCCTTCCCGCACGTGCAGAGTGTGCCAAATTCCGACCTGTTGTGATCAGATTGGTGGCAGGGGATTTGTTTTGGGTTTTTTTGTGTGTGTTTTTTTTTGGGCCTAACAAAAAAACGACGTTTTTTTCCCAAACAGGACCGGAAAAATCAATCGTTCTTTTCAATCGTTTTTTTTCGCAACCGTTTTTTTCCACCCCCCCCCCAAGAAGCGTTCGGTGTTTATACGCTAGCGGATAAATGCTAGCTTATGAAACGCGAAACGCGTATACTCCAACTAAGTCTCGAGCACTTTTAAATACTTATTACCTTGAACCGAACACGTTCGATGTACTAAGGTGGGGTGTGCAGAACCAAACAGGGAAGAGTTGGACTCGAACACGTTCATGTTCGGTTCGAGTTCCCATTATGGCTGTTTTTCAGGGGGGCGGGGTGTGGGAGGGTGGGGGGGGGGGGGGAGGGGGATGGGAAGGAGGGGGGAAGGGGGGGTGAACTATGGGGGGTAGGGGATTCTGGTGGCAAATAATGTACTTCTTGGTGCAAAACTTGGTTTGCACGTCAACCTACCGCCTATATGCCGAGTATGGAGAAAATGTTTGCGGGTTATTTGTGGTTTTGTGCGATACAGATTTTTTGCTTTACGCTTGTGCGTTTTCGGTTTGTGGATCGCCTCAACCATTGATGAGCTATGTGAAATTTTGTGAGGGGTTACACTCATGAGTGTTCATCATGAGCGTTCGTGTGTGGATGTGAGGAATTTCGAAATTTCATGTGCGTTCGTGTTATATCGCAAATCATCATGAATGTACGTGCATTGTGAGTGTTTATGAGTTTTTGTGGGCTTTCGCAGATTTGTGTTTTTGTGTCGTTCATGAATGTTCTGATGTTCATGAGTTTCTGTGAAACGTTCGTGTAATCATTCATGAGATTTCCAGGTAATGTTTGTGAGTTGAGCGTTCGTGTCTTTTTGTGAGTGCGTTTGTAATTTCACGTTTGTTCATGAGGTTTCGACGGAATTTGGTCCCAAGCGAGATGGCTAAATTTGAAAGTGCTTAGCCAATGAGTGTGTACTGTTACGATCGTGTGGCTGGCCACGATCTCGGCAAGGAGATCTCGCCATGCGCCTTGTCGGCACGACGTGTGACTCAAAAGTAGGGATGAGCAAAAGGCGAACACAAACATGTTTGTGTTTGCCTTGCCTCGAACACTCGTGTTTGGCGAACATGTTTGTGTTCAGCCGAACACATACCGGTGAAGGAGGTGTTCGGTGTTCGCCAAAAACGACGAACACCAAGGCGTTCGCCCCGAGCACGAACGTGTTTGGGGCGAACATGTTCGTGTTCGCCTGTAGGCAACCTTCATTACAGTCACAGGGTTCAGGGATGGTGACTTTTGGCGTCCACAGTGGTTTTGCTATACCTGGTGGACGTTTGGGAGTGAAGGAAATGAAACACCAGAGAGTAGAGTTTGGCTTCGTCAAACTTTTTATGAGAATCTAGGTAACCTAGCTGCTGGAGCTTGTAGTCTAGGCTGTGGGGGGGAAGTTAGACAAAAGTCGAGCTAAAAAAAAAACTCGACTCGTGTGTGTCCCATCGACCTAAACAAAGGGTTGAGGGACTTTTCAGACGAACACATTTGTGTTTGTAGCGAACACGAACATGTTTGTGTTCGGCGCGGCTCGGCTAGCCGCGGCGAACCGAACGCGAACATGTTCGCCCCGAACACTTCTGGCAAAAAATATGGAGTGTTTGGTTCGCCTCGAACATGTTCGAGGCGAACCGAACAGGTGTTCGCCCTTGTGCTCATGTCTAGTCAAAAGGGTGTTTGAATCCAACTCGATACTTTGCTGGGCTTACGCGCAAGTAATGCCACGCCAATGTGGGCCAATGTTAGATGTCATAGATACCCATTTGGAGCCAGCGAGATTTCGTGTGGTCCACGAACTTTCTGTCTCCGCACGCTGAGAGAAGAAATTTGCTGGGTGTTTCGCAAGGCACGCAATTTATACGAGGCTGGTGCGACGTATGCGCGAAGGATAGAGACGACAATATAATTTCGTCGGTAACACCGTGACATGTTCAGCAGATTTTATTTACGAGTTGTCATGAGTTGTCACGGCCATGAAACTCCATAACTTGTCATAGGGTTTCATATGGAAGTGTGGGACATGGAAACTAGTATGGGCGAGTACGTCGCAATTTGTTTCGCATGGTGAAGCGTTAGCATTTCGGAGCTTGTTGCTAGCTAGGTTGTTGATGGGTTGCTCGCTTTTTATTTTGGTGGGTTAGTGTAAATGTTTGTGTGTGTTTAGTTGTAATCAAGCTTTTACGAGTGAAGATTCCATTATCATCGTATAGAGACGTGAGAAAAAAAAAAAAAAAAAACAAAAACAAAAACAAAAACAAAAACAAAAACAAAAAAACACGAGCCAATCGGTCGTTATCATAACGTTGCGCTAATGTTTCCGGGAGCACTATAGTGCCCACGATTGATGTTCCACACGGTGGATCTTTAAAAAGAACACAGGCCCTTGGTTAGGGGTTGCTTTTACTTGGCACCTAAGGACCCCTGGAGGCGAACCTGTGAAGATTACATTGTGTGAATTAATCGTTGTGCATAGAGTACTAGGTCCGTAGTTCCTAATAGTACTTACACGAAATGAGAGATTAGCCGATTTCAGAACCTTAAAGTTTAATTTGAAGAGCGCACGCCACTACAAATGCCAAACTAGAGATAAGCAAATCACGAGTCGAGTTTTACTCGACTCGTTATGCCGAGGCTCGAGGGCAAAACGAGTCGAGTTGAGTTAAACTCGACCGATCCTTTTCGGGCAAGTTGACCCTTGAAACTCGCCTCTCGAGTCGAGTTTTTTCCCACTCGTTTAATGGTTGAAAAAAGTTAGACCAAGCGAGTTAAACTCGACTCGACTACTAATGCCCCTTCCCCCCCACACCCTTCCCGTCCCGGGAAAACCCATTGACAAACCACACAAGGAGTTATCGGCATTACCTGAAACGTCCAAGTGTCCAGCACCAACCTGGCAGTCTCACAAGTACACAAACACACTCAAACAAGGAAGGTCTTGGGAACTAGCGCAGCAAGTGGACCAACACAACAACAAAACAACAGAATTGGTAGAAACAGAAGTAAGGTGAGATATAAGGCCGGTTCAAGCGCCATGGCGAGAGTGTGAAAGGCTCACATCCTGAATCTAGAGTAAATACCCCTATGGTCTGTCTGTCCACAATTATGCTCATCTACACAAGCACCTCCCTCAAATCACATCCCATCTTCCACCTCCAGACCCAAAGTCTCCTCCAACATAGCGTCCCTTGCCGCCTTCCCAAGCCTGGTGACAGGGTGTGTAGCAATCCAAGACTTCAGCGTCATGCAGGCCTGCACCTGCTCGGCGCCAAGCCTATGCCTCTGCCACGTGATAAGGTTTTGCCCCTGCAAGAACACACGCTCGCTAGCAGCAGAGGTGGCAAGGATGGCAAGGAAATATTTTGTCGTAGCCGGCAATTGGTGCAGATCTGACCTGCGCAACCAGTACGCCAGGGGACATGCACCGAGGTTCTGAATCGGCTCGTCGATATAAATGTGCAATTCGTCCTTGTGCTCGGCAAACTGCTTGCTGAGGAGGCCAGCCAGCTGTGCGACGAGGCCATCCGTGTCGCCATCCTTCCCTCCCAACATAATCACCCCTCCACTCGCCCCACTAATTGAACCATCCCCCCTCCACCCCCCCTTCACCCCTCCCCCCCCCCACCCCACCTTTGCGGCTTCCTGCCTGCGTCGCTCCCGTTCAGCGTAAGGCTGTCAACGAGAGCGCACCAGCTCCATTACCTTCTTGGCCGGCACCTTTGCAACCGCTCGTCCTTCCTGAGCTCTGCCCTTTGTCAGCTCAAAGTAAACGAGCTGTAGAAGGGTGACTCACTGCTCGTCGCTGCTGGAGTAGTAATACTTCAGTAGATTCTCGATGAAACTCGACGAGTGGGAAAAACTCGCGAGTTCTTAGAATACTCGACATTACGAACGACTTTTGACAAGTTTTTTTTGTAACTT